GGCATGCACCAGGGTGCGGGCTGGTTGCTACAGTGGCGCACCCTTGATGTGGTCCCCAACTTGGGCTTTTGTGCAGACGTAGCTGTTCCTTGCCTCAGGCTTCCTCCTGTTGATCATTTGTGTGAAGATGCACCTGCGCCCAGACTCCTCTGGGTAAGGGGGATGGTGTTGTGATCTCTGCTCAGCTCTCCATGGACAGGAGAGGTTGAATTATGTCCCTTATGGCTGGAGGAAGAGGTGGCCCCAGTGGCAGTTGCCTGGCATCATAATATCCCCTGGATGTATTTGGAGTCTGCTGTCAGCAGGCTGTTTGTGCTGATTTATTTAGAATCACAGGACGGATGATGGATCGTTTCTGCCATATGTTCATCCAACTTTCCAGCAAATGGTTGATTTATAACTCATCCTGTCTTGCTGATTGTGGGTGGGCAGCGACAGAAAGAGGTTCCTGTTTTCTCCTTTGAGAATGTTGGCCTGTAGCTCCTTGAGTTCTGATGTGGGACCTCAAGTTAAGTAAGAAGGTCACCTTCTCCTCCTGGGCTTTGTCCAGACTGGCTTGTGGCAGGCCTTAGAGCTGATGAAGCCAGCCCCACAACCAGCTACTGGATTGGCAGGGAGGGCTACTGTGAGCTGAAGTGTGGAAATACAGAGGAGAGGTGCTCAGCTGGGAACATCTAGAAATGAATCTGACAAAATAAGTTGAGTCTCCGCAGAACAATGCAGAATCAATGCTGGCAAAAAAAAAAAGTTATTTTGCCTTCCCGTGCACTGCTGTTGCATTTTAAAGCATATCAAGGAGCTTGTGAAGTTTTGAATGCATCAGAAGAAGCTGCAGGGTTTCTGCCTAATGTTGTCCCACACCCTAGAAAAGGGGCAAGGGGAGTGTTGCTGGGGACAGTTCACTTTCCAAAGCAGTTGAAAAGAACACTGGCAGTCTCTTCTGCCTACATCTGTATGCCAAGTGTGTCAAGTCAGAGCTAACTTATGACAAACCCAACAAGAGGCTTTCAAGGGAAGTGAGACACAGGGTTGTTTGCCAGTGCCTCCTTCTGCTGAGTCTTTCTTGGTGATCTCCCATCCAAGTACTAACCCTGTGTAGCTTCCACGATTTAATGAGATCCGGCTATACTGTACCATTCTGCACCCCATTTTTGCCTAGTCATTGAAAATTAGAAAGATCCTTCCACTAATGCACTTTCAGTGTTTCGGCAGGAGCAAGTATCACTGTTTTCTTAGAATTAAGGAAATCTAGGAGGATAGTTATGCAGGGAGTTAGAATAGCAGTGGGGCAAAGCGAAGGAAGTAATCTAATCAGAAAGCTAATTGTAAATTGAGAGATGCTGTGCCATTGTAATGAGATCAATTAGATGAGGCAAATTGATCTTATGCTCACTTTGGTTTGTCATAGCAAGCGAAAGGGATATGCCAGGCTCAGGGAAGACCTAGGCTTAGCAGTTGTGCATTCAAATCATAGGAAATAGAAAGAAACCTACCCAAAATGTGTAGTGAGGCTTATTCTGGTTGGTCCGAAGCAGAGCAGTGGGGATGGATGCAAGATGATCGACATCAAGAGAATTTATGAATGTGAATCCAGTACAGCAGTTTACAAAATTACACGATTTGCCCCATTAAGTTAGATCGGTCAAGTTAGGAATAGCAAAAATTGTGTGGGTAAAATGTTTTGTGTACATTGTCATGTGGTAGTTAGAGCTTTTGCCACTTGCAGGCAACTCTGGGTGTTTGGTTTTTTGTCTGTGTTCGCATGAAGCAGCGGCAGGGGGATCTCCTTTTTTTGACTTAATTTGTAGTCCGTCTTCCTCTGTAAGACTCCAGGCAGACTACAGAATTGGAAACCAGTGCAATAAAAGCAGGATAATACATACAACTAACAGTACAATTTTAAAAAATGCTTAAAATTTCACCATCAAATTTGTTCTGAACTGTAGAGCAGCACTGGCTACTTCCTGTATTTTCCAGCCAGAGCTCTGGGGACTGGATGTATATTTTTGCAACACAAGTTGATCCCTTCAGAAGACCTGGGAGCAACCTGCAATTCATAGTGTGGGGGAATGGGCCTGCTGCGGCCTGTAGACCCTGTTCTACCCTGCCCTCCAAGGTTCTCTCAACCACTGGAGAGGTTTTTCTCTCTTTGTCCAGTAAACCGCTGCCACCACCTGACCTTTGCAGGAATCACACACTGGGAGGGTCAGGACCAATGCTTCCTCTAAGCTGTGGAGTCTTGTGAGCAAAAATTCTACTTTGTGAACTACTGGTATTAAAGTTGTGAGTAAATGATTTGGCTGCTGCATAAGTTAGTTTGCTCTGGAGCCATCCTTCCTGAGCTAAGACAAAAAACGTGTGAGCTGGAGGCTAAAAAACTGTGAGCTAGCTCACACTAACTCAGTTAAGAGGGAACACTGGTCAGGACTCCCAGCTTCCCTTCCAAGTTCTGATGCCTTGCCTCTCTGTCTCTTGCTGCTCAGGACCTGGTCACCATGGGACTGTTTGCTACCTTGGGCGCCCCTGGAGGAACAGCCACTTGCCAAATGACTGCCTTCCCCCTGGCGCTCCTTTGAAAATAGTGTGTCCAAGACGGTGGAAGTCTGTGTGGTACAGAAAACCACCATGAGCATCAAAAGTTTTAAAGTATTTATTAAAAAGAAAATGTTCACAAGCGTACTTTCAGCACAGCACCAGACTGAGCAAGGGATTCAAAAGAAATGGGTAAAATGCAATTCCTCTGTCCCTCTCTCTATACATGCCCTACCATATGTTAAAATATAGGACAGGCTCCTTAGCTTAGGAAGTTACAGATCTCTACAGAGTTACCTTTACCTTGAAGGTTTCCTCCAGCTCCTCAGGCCAGCACATGGTCAATGGCTGCCTCCTCCAGACCTCGGTTAAGAATTCTGCCTGCTCTGATGGACTCTACACCAACCAAAAAGAGCCCTTCCTCCTTGCTCCCCTGAGTTTTATCACCTCTCTTTCCCCCACCCAGTGACCAAGTCAGGCTGGGTCAGATAAGTTTTTCCTGAAGTTTCCAGAAATTTCCTTCCTGAAGTCTCTCTAGTATTTAATTCCTCCAAATCGCTGTTCCCTGCTTGGTGAAGGGGTAGAGCTTGACCCAGGAGATCTCTCCTGCTATATCTATTAGCATTTGTATGAAGGTGGGCTGAGGTATGTCTGGAAAGCAATTGAACTGGCTTTCCCCCATCCTGCCTGCTCTCTGCCCAGAGAGAGAGATAAAAAAGCTGTAAAAACTCAGAGTGAAGGTTTTGCTCACTCCAAATCTCTAAAGAAAAAGTGCATTTCTTCGCAAATGGTTTCACAGTTCTGGAACCCTCATGTTTGCAGGTAGCACTAGAAAAAATCTCACAGAGGTCTTAACATCAAAGTGGGTCAATCTCTGTCCCTGACTCCTTGAAAATACCCCATTGATATTTCCTTGCAAAATGTTTTCTTATGTACTTGATTAAAATGTGATAAGCTTTCTGGGAAACAGATCAAAGAGCTTTGGGGGCTTCAGCTGGGGCTCTTGTGCTGCCTTTTTGCCATCCTCATCGAGAGGGAGGGGCCCTGGCTCTGTGACAGAACATCTGCCTGGCAGTGGTCTAAATCACTATATGGCAGGTTCATGTGTTTATGTACATGTGTGAGAGAAACACTGGTGATGGGGGCAAATCCTACTAAAAGCAGACTTATTTTCATTTTAAATGTTTATGTAGACACCTTATTGTGGAGCTAGCTGTTCACAAGGCTGATGCTGTGCTCTGTTGTGTGCTGAAATGTCTCGGGGTGACCAAGAAGCGAAATGATTGGAAACAGCGGCTCCAGCAACCTCTGCATGCACAGCTGTACCCAGGTTAAACAAACCTTATGTTTTGATTCTCCCCCACCCGTCCTTTCTTGACCGTTGCCACTGACTAGCAAAGCTGGCTGTTTAAATCTGATTCTGAATGCTTGACACCTACGTAGCTGGCAGTTTTGTCCCATAAGTACATTTCCTATTAGTCTTTTTTTTTTTTTTTCCACATTTTTTTTTTTATTGGCATGAAGCAATATATTACAAACAAGATATATAACATTCTGCTTCCTTAATTTTTTTCAGTACATAAACATTAAATATATAACAGTATTCAATCAAGTCGTAAGCAATAAAATATAACAAGGTTTGAATTAACCGAAGTCTGCAAGTTTTAAAGATAGTTTTTGAAATTTTTCATATTAATCAGTGCTATAGAACATTACACTATTCTTTTCCAATGATTTTTTCCTTTTTGCTTTCCTTCTTCTATATATTAATACTCATTTACATATCATATGTGGTATCCTGTTAGGGATCTGGTGCTTATTTATCATCCAATTATATTGAAACGATGAAACAATAAAATAAGAATAAGGTAGTAATTGAAAACAATTTTTGATAACTAGTGGAATACAAAGTAACCTTCAAGTTTAAATCCATTTGGTATAGTCCTCCCATATAGGAGAGATAAACTTTTCTTTTGCCAGGGCATCCATGATAGGGTACCATTTTGCATTAAAGTTGGAATTATTGGGGTTTCTATTATTTCTATTATGTTTATCCGTAATACTTTCCATTATGTATTGGAAATACATTATGTATTCCATTATGTATTTTAAGCATTGTCGATAATGCTTTCTGAATTCTGTGAATGGCTACAGATCGGCAAAGAGGCACTTCCTTTTGTCTGTTTTGAAACAACTTGGGTGGCAGTGTGATGTTAGGAATGCCCAAGCAGAGGAGTGGCCAAAGAGCAGCTGACCCGTCAATGGTCAGCTTTTATGACAGGCTGGAGAACCGCCAAATGGCTGCTCAGTAGCAGGTGTCTTCCTTCCCTCCCAGCCAACTGTGGGTGGGAATTTAGTGAGCAAATGACAGCCCTGCTGCTGAAAGCAGATTGAGCCAGACAGGCAGCCAATGAAAACTGGCTCCGCGAGGGATTCTCTGGCTGTGAAACCTGACAGGGAGGCTTCCCGGGGCTGCCGTGTAAAACTTGGATCCCTTCCAACTTGTGTCCCGTCCTCGTTGTGACTCACTTCCCGAGAATAACGATGACACTCGTAAACAATTGATGCGAAGCGAGCCAAGCATCTCTCTCTGCCTGCTGCCCTGCGCTGGCTTGCTTTTAGTAAGGCACCCAGGTGACCATGGGCTGTCTGTTTACCCCAGCATTGCCACGGCTGCCTGCCCAGCAGACCTGGTTACGCGAGCCAGAGGGATGGTTGTAGTCACGGGGCAGAACAAAGCGAGTGGACGCCCGGGCGATGCCATGTCTACCTCGGATGCGGAAGACGATTTCCAAGAGCCGGCCACCCCGACAGCCACCCAGGCGGAGCACTCCCTGCCCCTTCTTCCACAGCAGGTTGGTGGTTCTTTTTTAGCATCGATTGATCCTTTCCCATTGCAGTCTCACAGATTGGCTGAAAAACGTCCTTGTGATGGTTTCATCTGAGCTTGAATGTGGACATTTGCAAGGGGATTGTCCCTAGTCGGCAAAAGTCCTTCCCCCTGAAGGATTCCCAGACTCTCCTGCAAGTGATGCAAGACTTTTCGGTCCTGCTTGACTTGGTGGGACCAGGGGAAAGCCACACAGTGATTCCTCCCCCTTTTAAATTTGGGTCCCTTGTTGCTTGTCTTTTGACGTTACACGTTACAAAGCTGAAGGATGGGGTAGGTTAGAGGCCCACATAATTAGCACATAAAAGAAGTTATCCCACTTTTATCTCGTGTTTATGCTTCATATTCCCCCCCCCCAGATTTGTAATGTTTATTGTAAACAACATATCAAAACATTAACAAGAAGAATTATGATAATAGTACATAATGGAAACCATGATAAAATCTGCTGTATATCAAACCTAAATAGAACATACCTTACTTTACCAACAAACATAGCTAATATGTTATAGCCACCCTGAGCCTGCTCTGGTGGAGAGGATGGGATATAAACAATGTAACTTGTGATATTCTATGAGGGGTTGCCCAGCAAAAATGTAGAAAGAAACCTCTATTAGCTATCTAGCAGTATTTAATTAAGTAAACTAACACAGTCAAGGGGTTTATAAAAATAGTAAGTCAAATGGACTTGTACGATTAAGTATTGCTTCGTGTTTTGCCATATAATCTATGACTGGGAAATTTGGATTGATAATTTTTTGTCTCTGACTGTGTAATCTGATCTGATATTTCCCTCATAATATAACAGTCCCAGATTTTAGCAAACCATAATGATGTTGACAGAACAGTTTTGTCTTTCCATTTAGAGGCTATTGCCACTTTGGTTGCTACTATACGGTTCATATTTTTTAGGGTTCTGGCAGGACAGGGCTTTCCAGGATCAGGTCAGATCATTCCCTGTAAGTTAGCACTCTCTGGAGCTGGTTGTATACTTGAAATGTCACCTCGAACTAATTCTGAAGTGGTGGGCTCCCATACAGATGATGAAAGCAGCAAAAATGAGCCATGCATAAGCAAGGTACGGGTCACTCCCTACTCGAGGGACCCTGCAGGTATGCAGAAAAACATGGCGTTGTGAATTAACCTGCAGAAAAACTAAAGAGAACCTCAACTGTGCATACTCCACAAAGGAGGGTTATTAGCAGAATAAAGGGGGAAAAAGGGGAAGGGGAGAAATAGCCCTGCTCCAGCCCCTGTGAGCTTAGAACATTCTTGAGAAGGAGATTTTGAGAGGGGAGATGGGGCTCCTGAGGCCCTTGTAATTCCTCTCAGAGCCTCAGCTTGTTAATCTGGTTATTTAGAACACTGGGTGGAGTGGCAAAGCACTCTCGACCTGTGTAACTTATGTTCACGTGAGCCTGTTTCTGCCCGCTTGCCGTGTATTGTGACCCTCAGGGTCGCAGAAACGGGAGGTTCATTGAGGCCCTGGTGGGCTGCGTTCGATTGGGATGCAAGCTTTGCAGGCCTTTTATCTTTTGTTAATACCCCAATCGACTAAGCCTTCCCAAAGTCTGTGGCAAGTGATCACCTGTGTGACTGATCTCTTGACTTCTCTTGCCCTACCTGGGTATCCTTCCCCGACTCCTTGTCCTCTTCATCTTGGCCCCTTGCCCGCTTCATAAGGTCATCTGCCAAGGCAGTTTTGAAGAGTTTATCATGGTTGTTCTTTCTAGTTCCCTGAAGTGGTTCCCCTGAACGTAGGAGGCATGCCGTTCACCACCAGGCTGTCGACACTGAGGCGATACGAAGACACCATGCTGTCGGCCATGTTTAGCGGCCGGCATTATATCCCGACAGATGCCGAAGGCAGATATTTTATCGACCGGGACGGAACATTCTTTGGGTATGTGTCCGCTGCATGTTTGTACCAAGCACACGTGAGCAATATAGATCGTTTTGCATATTGGAGGTAGAGTGATTTCCTGAATCCCAACACTGCCAAGGAAGCTTACTGGGTGACCAGGCATCAGTCATAGTCTCTCAGCATGACTTACATCATAGGGTTGTTATGTGGATTACATGGAGAATGTTGGAAGGCACTCTGGGTTCCTGCTGGGGAGAAAAGTGTGGTATAAATGAAGCCAATACATTTTCTGGGGACCACAGGAACACAAATTGCCATAAAATCCTAGCCAGTAGCCTCTGGACAGCTGTTCTCCAGACTGCCAGAAGATCTTGGTGAAAGCTTTTGGGAAGACAAGCTTTTATTCGACCTTTTCGAGCTCCCTGATTCTGCCAACCAACATCACACTATGTATGGTTTTAATTGAAGTGCTTGTCCACAATGTCAGTGAATCAAACTCAGTTTTGTTGTGTTCATGTAGCGCTGGATGAGGCAGTGTGAGCAGCTACCCCAGGTGGTGGATTTTGAGAGCCACCTGGGTGGGAGACACACAGGTGACCCACGGGGCACAGTCCACTGGGAAGGAGGTGCCTGAGAGCACCCTGGTTGGGAACATCCTGGTGGATTGTGCCCCACATTAGTGAGAGGAGCCGGGTGCCATTTGGGTTTTTCTCCATCGGGCTCTGACTTTGAGCACCAGAAGGGGTCAAGAGGCGAGTAGCAGATCTTCTTTGTTTATGCAGCATGTGGCCGCTAATAGGATTGATTAGTCAAAATGACTTGGCTGCCTTTGGCCTTGGAAACAGGATCTTCAAGGGTGCCTCATCAGCTTTAAGCGCTCACCTTCCTGTTGGAATAAATGTGTACAGCTGTAGTCCTGCCAAGTCAGCGCTCCAAACAGACCTTGGCCCGTCTGCCCTTTTTAGTTCTAATTTTAAAGCAGAAAGCTCTGAAGCAAACATTAAACGAATCCCGTTCCCTCGAGGCATGAATCTGACCTCTGAAACCACCACACACAAAAACCGGCGGGAGAACATCTTAATCATCCAGCACATTCGGTTGCTGACCTAGGAGTGGCAGAGAAACCTCAAGAGAAAATTACAGTATGAAATTGCTGCCCTTGAGTCCATTCACATATTCAGAACAAATGGACACACACACCCTCCCCCAAGGCTGAATAAGGACACAGAATTCTTCTCTTGCTTATCTGACGAAGGGAGCTTTGACTCTCGAAAGCGACTACCCTGAAAGTCTAGCTGGTTTCTAAGGTGCTCCTGGACTTGAATCGAGCCGTTCTACTGCAGACCCACGCAGCTGCCCTCTGAAATTAAATTGCAACAGATGCGAATTTTCTGCCCCCGAGCATTTCTCCCCTACCATAATCAAGCTGAACCAGAGGTCATTTCGGGGGGGATCGCAGGGCATCGCAGTTCCCCCGGGTGAGGTACGGGGGGCGGGGCACATGACGAAGCCCCACCCCCTGCTTCCGGCCGCCCCGCTTCTGGCCCTCATTCAGCCAGGGGGAGGCAGGAGAAGAGGGAGGGTAAGTTGCTTCCTCCTTGCCTATCCCCACCCCTGCCTGCCTGGGGCCAGGGAGGGCCTTCGCGGGGCTTCCTTGCACTCCCACCGGCCTTTCAGGTCCACTGCCGGGCCCCTCATGGGGCTCGGCAGTGGAGCTGCAAGGCCGCCAGTGGCGGCCAGGACCGTTGGGGGCAGGGTGTGTGGCCTTATGACACACTTCCAGTGATGTCAGGGGGTGTGGCCTTATGACACACTTCCGGTGATGTCAGGGGGTGTGGCATATGCTAATGAGTTATGCTAATGAGTTCCCCTAGCTCGCTGGCATCTGAGGTGCTGCTGAACTTGAATCTCGCTCTTCTCTTTAAGGCTGGCCCAAGATCCTTTGCTCCCATACGCGGAGAAGAAGCTTCTTGGGCTGTTTGGGCAGCTGGGCTGGCTCTCTTTCATCTCACTGGGGGACGTTTCATCAGAGATTGACCCCTGGACCTTTGACATACTTCTTAGGGCTGTCACCTGATCCGAGACGTCTTACTTGACTGTTCACGTGAGTGTCAGTTAATGAATGACACTTGCATATCAGTAGAAACAATGCTTCTGAAACAGAAATGAAGATTCCAGATGGGTCACCGTGTTAGTCTGCAGCAGTAGCAGCAGCTAGAAACGAAGCTGAAGAAGTCATCTGTGACCCATGGAAACTGTCACAAAGTTAGTCTTCAGGGTGCCACTGGACAGTCGTTTTATTCCAATGCAAAAAAGTGTTATGCCCCCTTTTCTAAAAAAACAAAAGATGCGTAGCTGTGTCATTGCAGGTATTACCCTGCAAGAGGAAATGGAAGAGAGGAGAACCAAGTACGCCACCTTGAGCTCTTTGGAGGAACTTCAGGATGGAAATGTAACAGGGGTATTCCATCCTGGGTGAGAGAACAGGGGAAACGCTTCTTCTTAAGATGTTGCTTAGCAGCTGCAGGTTTTATAAAAGTGTTTAAAAATATGCGTATTTGTAATATTTATTTGTAACCCCCACCCCACTTCCCCATTAATTGGGGACACCTTTTTTGTTCATCAAAACTGATACATTTAAATGATTGACTTAACATTGCAGGTGTATTTAACACTACAGCTCTAAGCAGAGCTGTCTGAGTCCGTTGATGTCAGCAGGCTTGTAACGGGGTAACTATGTTTAGGATTGGACTGAAGATGTGTAAAAGATGGATATTCAGCTAGCATGCTCAAGACTTCTAAGGCAGTTTACAAAATGTATAAATAATAAAAATCAAATTCAGTAGTTTGTTTGTTTTGCACCCAGTGTAGAGGTCGCCGGGGCAGGGAACATGACCGGCAAAACAAACGTTTAAAACCACATATTATAAAAACAACAATTAAACGCATAACCAATTAAACGTATAAACAGGAAGGAAGGATCATAATTAAGTAGTTACGATCACAGCAACGGTTATTTGACCTCACGGATGCTGGCTGGCACACTGGCCAATCCACCTCATATTTATTTATTGATTGACGGATTAGGTTTTAATCCTGCCCTCCCAGCTGAGGCCGGCTCAGGGCGGTTTACAATAAAATTCCAACAGTATAGTATAAAAGTATAACATCTGTTAATACAATAACAGTTCTTAAGAACCGTAAATATAGTAATATAGTAAAGTGCTAGTACTTAGTTTCCTCATCTTATAGCCCATCTTTCTCACATAGAAACAGTTCAGTCAAGAGAGTATACGGCATCCGTGAACAATGCAATAGGACTAAGATGACAGGAATTAGGAAACAATGCAAAGAGAAAACTGACTAAGGCACAACTTGTTGGACCACGTCCAACAATCGTCAAGTCCCCCACTTCCCCGCCATAACACAAAAACCTGAGCAGAAAGAAAAATGTTTACCTGGTGCCTCAAGCCACAAAAGCCAGGTAGTCAGCTGTGTGGAGGGAGTCTCCTAGCTGAACACACATGAAACTGCCTTATACTGAATTAGACTGTCGCTCCATCAAGGTCAGTATTGTCTACTCAGACTGGCAGTGGCTCTCCAGGGTCTCAGGCAGAGGTCTTTCACATCGCCTACTGCCTGGTCCTTTTAACTGGAAATGCTGGGGATTGAACCTGGGAACTTCTGCATGTTCTGCAGTGCAAGCAGAGGCTCTTCCACTGAGCCACAGTCCTGCTTCCCAGTACTGAAGTGCTGCTGCAGCAGGGAAGGCCCTTTTCCTGGTGACCAGCTTGGAGGTCAGGGAGGCATGAGGAGAGTGGCTTCTGCAGAAGACCTTAGCTGCCAGGCAGGCTCACTTAAAAGGAAGCAATCCTCGATCTCGTGTGTCTTTTTACACCTGAAGTACCTTGCCTGTCACACCACAAAAGGAGAAAGAGCGTAGCAATGATCTACTACTACCCCTTTTCTTTTATTTCCAGAGACGTGCTTAACTTCCTGCGGTCCGGTGACTTGCCTCCACAAGAGCGAGTGAGGTCAGTTTACAAGGAAGCTCAGTATTATTCAATAGGACCATTGCTAGAAAGCCTAGAAGAGCTCCAGCCCCTTAAAGGAGAGAAAGTCCGGCAGGCTTTCTTGGGCTTAATGCCCTATTACAAAGGTAAATCGAGAGCAGCGATGGCATGGTTGTCTCATGGCAGGTCACACATAAAATCGGGAGCTGACTTGAAAACGGGAAGGGTTTTTCTAAAAAGGAAATCATTTGAAAGCTCTGCAGAAGAATGGGCTGCAGTAGAAAGTGTAGCCAGTCACTGTGCAGTGTGCCTGCATGTAGCACAATTCTTTGCAGATTGTGAACAGATGAAGCTGCTTTGTACTGAATCAGATTTTTGGCCCTGCTAGTCTTGCCTGCTTTGACTGGCAGCAGTTCTCTAGGGGCTTGGGCAGAGAATGGTTCCCCCAACACCTGAGATTCTTTGACTGCAGATGCCATTAGGGACCGGAGTTAGAATCTTCTGCTGCTAAGCTGTTGCCCATCTGCTAAGGGAGTCATCCAATGATTCATTGCCTCAAAAGGTACAAGATGACATTCTTCACACAATGGTAGGAGGAAAAATTGAAGCAATCTGGGAGATAAATACTTAAGAATTTATTGGTACCCAGGCCGTAGCCAGGATTTTGTGGCTTGTGGGGCAATTTTTTTTCTGGTGGGGCTGAAGTTCTCCATGCAGAAGGAAAAACCATTTAGCCAACAGAAAGCTGTTGCCAGGCTAGATCTCTAAATTGCAAGCTGTCAACCACTTCTCAGCTGCTGCAAGTTAATCACTTCTGCCAGCCTAAGCAACAAATCTGATCACAAGCCGGCAGGTGGGGGTGATGACTTCTATAGTCAAGAAAGCTAACACTTAGGCAGAAAAACTCTCTTAAAGGAGACCAGTTTCTTGACACATAATTAGAAAGGATCCTAGAGGTCACCTACTCCAACCCCTTGCTCAGTGCACAGCCCCACTCTGCTTAAAGGAGTGTTTAAAAATGATTGACGAAAGCATTTACAGGATAGATTCTTGTGGGGCTGTGCCTTTAAGAAAGGGGTAGAGCCCCCCAAAGCCTCACTGTCGCTATGGGCCTATCCATACCCCTTCTACGCTTGTGGCTGACCCTGCAGTTTGGAGCCCAGTGTGAAAAATTCCACAGTGCTCTGCCCCCAGCATATGTACTGTGTAACCTGGGACACAATCAGTGGGGGAGCTCACTTGCATAAGCCCCTTTAAAACAAACTGGAGCTACAGAAGAACACCACTGTTAGCAGAATTCAAACAGAATTCAAACAGGTACAGTACATGGAATCTCTTGGGAAAGACTTTAGTGTGTCTGGATCGTGATGAGCTGCTGCCAGTCAAAAGAGATGTTGCTAAGTTAGGTACATCAGAGGTCTAACTTGACATTAGGCAGCTTCATATTATTACATTGGTTGCTTGCTATATGTGTGGGGTGGGCATGGGATTTGCATGCAGAAGTCCCCAATTTATCAGGTGCTGGAAAGGACCCTGGAGAGCCACTGCCAATAAATAAATAAATTGAGAAGCTAGATGTGCCAATGGTCTGACTTCACATGGGGAAGATTTTTGGTTAGGGAAAGGTCTGTAGCTCAGTGGTAAAGTAGGTGCCTTGTATGCAGAATATTCCAGTTGAATCCCCTGTATCTCCAGGTAACAGACTGCAGGGAGCAGGTGCTGGGAATAAGCTTTATTTTCTGAGAGTGTAGAAAGCTGTTGCCATTCAGAGGAAATAATATTGAGCAAGGTGGGCCAAAAGTTTTTAATTTGTTATAAGGCAGCTTCATACATTCTGTAGTGAATAATTTGTTCATTCTCGCTCAAGGCATTCTCCTGTAGTTTCACAGGTTGCTTCTCTTTGCTCCACAGATCACTTGGAGCGGATCGTTGAGATTGCAAAACTGAGGGCCATGCAGAGAAAGGCCCGGTTTGCCAAGCTGAAGATCTGCGTCTTCAAGGAAGAAATGCCCATCACACCATATGAGTGCCCGCTGTTCAACTCCTTGCGCTTCGAGAGGAGCGAGGGTGAGGCCAAACTCTTTGAACACCACTGCGAAGTGGACGTGTCGTTCGGACCTTGGGAAGCCGTAGCAGACGTCTACGATCTCCTCCATTGCATTGTGACAGACCTCTCTAGCCGGGGCATCACCGTGGACCACCAGTGCATCGGGGTATGCGACAAACATCTGATCAACCATTACTACTGCAAGCGTCCCATCTATGAATTCAAGATCACGTGGTGGTAAGCTCTTTGCCTGAGAGTGAGGGAGTCCATTTGGAGTCCTCTTCCTGGTCCTACTTCTCTTACTACCACCAGACGCCGATTCTACTCTATCTCAGCAATTACCTTGCGAGGGAACGTGCACTCCATTCCTTGCAATGCAGCTAGTGGAAACCTGTCTCAGACACTTTGCTTTGAAACCGGAAAAATTCCATTGGGAAGGATGCATGCCAGGTACTGGATACAATCACGGCTGAAGAATACCTCAACATGCTCGTATAAAGGTTTGGAAGGCATCCTTTGCACATCTGCCCTGCCTCCCTGGCTTTTCAACCCTTATCTGCACTACAGAGGTGGCCGATAGCAGGGACACAAGCCGTTGCACAATATTCCCACGAGTTTGTTCCCCCACCAGTGTGATGAATAGCTTTTACTTAGTCATGTGGTGTCAGAAGTACGCAGCAAGCACTTTACCTCACACAGCTGTCACTCCTGCCTTTGTGACTTTATTGTTGTGATTTGCAAAGCCAAGGGCTGAGATGCGTTCCATAGATGCCGATGTGATTCAGAAGCAATTACAAAAAATAATCTGTGTTGAGTCTGTACCAAAACCCTATTTTTTTTTTTAGCGTGGGGGTTCTTTTTTATATCACCTGTTTTAATTGTGAACCCGTATCTATTAATTATTTCCTGTGTTGAAATGTAACTTATTTCTGTTTCTTTGACCAAAAAGAGCAATTTTGTTTTGTCCTGTTTTTTGGATGCCTCGCTGTGCATTCAAGCTGTGTAGATTACAGTCTTTAAAGAGCCGAGACAGAACTCTATTACTAATTGTTTCTGCCGAAACTTTAGCGGCTGGCAGTGTCTGGATGAAAGCTTCTCTGTAAGGGTAGTTCATTTTGCAGGGACCGATTCAAGGCCTTGAACTGAGCCAGCCTAGCGGCCTACCCCAGACCTCAAGTCTGAGAGAGCTGGCTAGGAGACAAACTGGGGCGCGGTATCTTTCCCCATAGAATGAACTGCCGCTTCCCACAGAGACAAAAAGATCGCCAAGGTTAGCTGCTTTATTGCATCCACAGTACTAGCTAAAATCAAAGCAGGCGAGATAAGATCCTGTGCCTGCCTCGTCTGCAGAAATTTGCACACATTTGAAACTACCAGATCGGGCCCATAAATGCTTGACGCTTGCCGACCTCTGTGTTGTCCAGCGGTTCACGATGGAATGGACTGTGGGTGCACAGCCTACTCAAAAAGGGCTGCTTGATCTTACAGAGCTGCAGTAAAAGCAGCCTAGCCTTTCGTTCCCTGCGGGAGAAAAATCCTCCCAACCCCTGATGCTGACAAAGGGAACTTTTTCTCCCTCTGCTCAAACACTAGAACACTCAAGGAAGCTGATGGGCAGTAGATTCAGGCTGGACAGCAGGAAATACTTCTTTAATTAAAATGTGGAATTTGTTGCCAGAGTATATAATGATGGCCACAGGCATAGATGACATTCAAAGAGGATTAGACAGATTCATAGAAGGAATAGACCAATCAGTGGCTACTGGCCATGGTGACTAAAGGGAACCTCCACATTCAGAGGCAGTCAGCTTCTGAATCCCAGTGCCAGGAGGCAACATTGGGGATGGCCTCAACTTCTATGCCCTGTTTTGGGCCCTCAGGAATAACTGGTTGGCCCCTGTGTGAGACAGGAGGCTGGACTAGATGGACCACTGTTCTGATCCAGCAGAACTCTAGCAAAAAATCCTAAAGGGCCAAAAGAGGTCCTGAATTTAGATAGCTCACTCTCAGGCCTCATCAGCCAGACTAACCATCTCCCATCAGGCTTCTGTTCCCTCATGTCTGCATGGTCCTTGGTTGTTCATGGTGATCACCTGACTGCCAAGTCCTGGCTGATATGCTTCCTTTGTACATAAGCACTTTGACTGGGATTCCAGCAAGGGTGCAGGCTGTGTGAGGGCTACAGGACACCAAGTAGGCTGCCCTGCTCCATGATTAGACTGCCAAGGACCTCATCTGAATGGGCACCTAACAGGCTCAGCTTCATGGGTGGGGAGCCAGCTAATTGGTGCTACAACAGTCCTGCGGTTGGTTCTGGCTATTTACACAGCCCCAAGAGCTGACCAAAAAAGACCCCTTTGTATTTATCACTGATTATATCTCATGCATCAGGAGCGGTGCTCCATTAGCGACAGGATTGTGGATGTTGCTGCAACTAGCAGTTACATTAAAACAGCATAGCTTTGTTCTTGAGAGAATATCTAGTTCTTTACTTTGTGAATCTAACATTCTTTTTTATACAAATAAGCTATCATTTATTTATTTATGCAGAGAGAGGAAAAATAAAAAATTCTTATTCCTTACCTAGATTTGGAAAGAGATTTTGTCGTGACTGTTATTTAAAGATTTTTTTAGGGTGTGTGTGGGAGGAAATCACCGTATTATCCAGATTTCTCTATGCATTACCTTTAATGCCTTTGAAAACAACTAAGATGTAAATGGGAGGTTGTGTGCTGTGTTGAAATACATTGTTGGAACTGTTGGACCTTGCTAATGTGAAATTCAGTTATGTGTTTGTTTTCCCCACATATAACCTGTATTTTGTATTAAAATGTGTCACGTGTCAGTATTGTGCAATAAAATATCTCTAAACGATCACCTAATTCACAGCTGTCTTGTACGTCTACTGAGTGCCAAGAGCAGGGGTGGAAAATCTGATTAATGTTCCAACTGCTCTCACCAGTTGAAATCAAGCATGGGGGTGGGGAGGTTGTCATCATTCTGGAGGGGACCACTGAGAAAGCTCTAGAAGCAAGGCATAATTATTACTTTTAAATGGAGACAGGATGTCTGATTATCAGCAGAGTGTTTTTCCCAGTACATTTGATAGGGCTAGGGTCCTTCTAGGCACTTTTAAATGTCACTTAATTTGTAATTAATATTACACAGCACCTATAGGTACCATGTACAGAAAAGACTTGGGTTCTGTTGTTAGGTTTCCAATATAAGCAACTAGATGTAGAAAAGGAAGGGAAATGTGAAGGATTTTTAAAGAGGCCTTTTGACATACCACCAACAGTTCTCTCTGAAATGCTCTCGGCAGGCAGGGCCAGTGACAACTCTGGGCTCCACAGCTGCCAGGACTGTTGAAGAAGAAGAGGAGGAGGAGATTGGATTTATAACCTGCCCTTCACTGGGAGTCTCAGAGTGGCTTACGATTTCCCTTCCCTTCCCCACAACGGACACCCTGTGAAGTAGGTGGGGCTGAGAGAGCTCTTTCGAGGACTGCTTGTGAGAGAACAGCTCTGATAGAACTATGGCTTGCCCAAGGTCATCCAGCAGCTGCAAGAGGAGGAGTGGGAAATCAAACCTGGTTCTCCCAGATTACAGTCCGCACACTTAAACCACTACACCAAATTGGCTCTCAAAGTTAAGAGTCAGTGACGCCTTTAAGACCAAGAAAGTTTTATTCCAAGTATGAGCTTTCCTGCACACACTTCCTCAGATACTCAGATTCCTCCTAGGATTGTTAAAAATAAGTGTGTTCTCTGTGCATGCACAGACAACATTTTCTTCTTTGGGGGAGAATTTAATTCCCTTAATTTTTTTTTCTGTCACATTTTCCTGCAAACCTAGGGGGTCCCCCAAGTTTGCTGAAAGATCTGTTTAGGGCAAGTGTGGCCCCAATCCGCAAATATAAGTATCTGCACATAGGGGGCACACTTGGGAATTAGATATATAGGTACTCTGCTGAGGTTCCCCGCCCCCCAGGCTCAATACCGCAGATCTCCAGGAATTTCCCAACCTGGAAGGATCACATTGGGAGGAGATCATGTGTGACATGGACTTCCCACGCTGAAAGCGCTCTGCCTGTTATTTAATCGAAATTTCGTATATTTCCTCAATTTGGCATTTGAAGTAGTTTACATAATCACCGGGGGGAAGAAGTCCCAGTTCGGAAAAGCACATCAATATGAAGTCTTATATACAGTTTTTAAAGTATTATTATAATTGTATTAAATAATACATTTAAACATTCAGTTACATAATTATTACTACGCCTAAGAAGCAGTCAATCCTCTCTCGCCCCTGTCAGCTGACCAAAACAGGCGCGGCCCCTTGCCGCCCCGCCCCTTCACCTCCCTACATATTTTTTGTGGAGCCCAAAGGGTCACACACTCGATGAAACTATCCCAACACTTCGGTACCCAATGGACTTTGAGTAGTAAAACACCCCCAGAGAAACACGGCGAGACGCTACAGAGCCACAGAGGGCTGGCAACGCTCTCCCGAATTTTTACTCCAGCCCCATTCGAATGTGGAAGCCTTCATTTTCTGTTGTTTCATCTTCTCCCCCCCCCTGCCATCTCGAAGGGAACCCGAAGTAGGGAGCTACGGAAGCCTCACGGATCTCTTTGCTCCAGGCACGGCTATATCCGTCCCTTTCCCCGAATGACGCCCGTTGCTTAGTTGACGGAAGTGACGCAAGCGCGCCGGTTGTCAGAAGTCGGACGCTCTGAGGGGGAAGTGAGACTGCGAGTGGAAGGAAAAGCAGAGGCGGCCTCCGGCCCGGAGACAGGGCGGCGGGACGGGGGCGACCCAGGTGAGGCTCTCAGGGAGATGTTCTTCCACACCAAACCGGTAGCTAGACGTTATGATAATTATCTCGTTTAACGCATTTTCTTCTTAGTTCATTTCTGTATTGTATGTTATTTGTCACTTCTGTTTTTAGATATTTTGTTTAGTAGTCGGTTGCTGCTCGTGTGACTCTTTCCTTGACGTGTTCGTGCGCTGCTGTCCTTTAAAATCGCGAGTGATATAAGAGCCATCTACAACACGTTACAGAAACACGTTTGTTTAGTTAACAGAATCATAGAGTTGGGAGGGATCTCCAGGGTCATCTAGTCCAACCCCCTGCACAATGCAGGAAAGTCACAAATACCTTTCTCCTCACCCCCAGTGGCCCCTGCTCCATGCCCAGAAAAGGGCAAAAAACCTCCAGGATCCCTGGCCAAACTGGCCTGGAGAAAAATTTCTTCCGGACCCCAAAGTGGTGATCACCATTTCCCTAGGTGTGTAAGAAAGGGCCACTAGAATACCCTGATTCCATAACCCCTCCCCAGCTCCAGACAGCTTGCAACCTCGTTCTCTTCTCAAACTGTCAAATCCGTTGCTCCGTCTGTGCAATACTATGTTATTGTTTTAATGTTAGTAGTGTTTTCTAGTGGTTCCTTGTATTTCTAAAATGCTTTTGATGTTTTCCATGCTTCTGTCATGTTATCTTGTAACTCTTACAACAGCCCTGCATGGGAAGGCAGTGTTATTCTCCCCTTATAGTCAATTGGAGGCTGATAGAGAGTGGCTTACCTAAGGGATAATTACATAGTAGAGTTGAGGTTTGAACCCGGCACCTCATTCTCTCAATTATTTTGTCATTATTATCATTATTTGCCTGCAGTGTTTGTCTTTTTCTGGCAAAAAGCTTTCTGATGTGTAGGAGCGCTCTAGGGTTGCTTGCAATATGTATTTACTAGGAAAAAGGCCCGTTGTGGAAATAAATACAATGGTCTCTAGAAAGAGGGTCTGGGCGGGTGCTCCGGCCTTGGACACTCAGTGTCAGTTTGCTGTGGCGACCTCAACAGGGTATAATGACACTGAGTCCACCATTTTCTCCAGAGGAACTGATCTCTGCTACCTAAAGAACAGTTGTAATTTTGAGTGATCTCCAGCCCTCACCTGGAGATTGGCAACGATGGTTCCCTAGAAGGGAATGGTTGGTTTGGAGGGTGGAATCTATGGTTTTGTACCTGTCCGAGGTCCCACGCCTCCTGAAACCTCACCCTCTCCAGGCTCCATCCCTCACATCTTCAGGAATTTCCCACCTGGAGTTGGCAACCCTATCTTCTTCCCAGCCAATCATCAACCTACCTTTATTTCTCCCTCACTCTTCAGCTTTCCACCCCCCCACACACCTGCAGCCTCTCCCGTGCTCTGAAGCCCCGACTGCTATGTCACATTGGCTGTCATATGGGGGCCACCTCAGCAGCATATAAGGATACAGAGCCCACCATTTTCCCCAGGGGAACTGATCTCTGCCATCTGGAAAGCAGTTGGAATTCTGAGTGATCTCCAGCCCTCACCTGGAGATTGGACACGTTTAGAACGTTAGAGGCAAAAGCCAATCAAGTCGCATATGCAAACGACCTCTGTGTTCCGCAGCAGAGGCCAGTGAGGCTGCATATGCAAATAACCTCTGTGTTCTGACTGACTATGGGGGCGGGGAAGGAACAGCAAAATGTTTAGAATGTTGGAGGCAGGACTCAGGCAAAGCAGCCAGTGGGTAGGGAGACCCTCTGATAGACAGATCAGAGAGTGAACTGATTTTGGAGCGTGTGGAATGTTCTAGAGAAGTGCCACTACCATTTGGCTTTTATTTATAAGGGAGATGATTTATTAAAACATTGTGTGTGTTAGGTGCTGTTATGTTGCTTCTGACTTACGGTGACCCAGTCAGTTAATGATCTCCAAAATGTCCTGTTGTGAACAGCTCTACTCAGGTCTTGCAAACTGTAGGCTGTCCAGGTTTCCTTTCTTATTTATTTATTTTGATTTCTTAACTGTGTGGGGCTCAGGGTGGTTTACAACAACATAAAATCCAATACAATTTTAAAACCAGTTAAAACTACAGAATTCAGTATTAATTCCTGAGTCAATCCGTCTTGTGTTGGGGCTTCCTTTTTTCCTGCTGCCTTCAATTTTTTCCTAGCGTCATTGTTTTTTCCAGTGACACCTCTGTTCTTACAATGTGACCAAAGTACAATATCTTTGAGATCCCACGAGGCTCCTTTCTGTTTTTGTTTCCTGTACCTGAATCTGTGCCTGTCTGAAAACGTTAAGATGCTTCAGGGATTTATTTATTTACTGTTTATTAAAACTTTATACTGTGCCTTTCCTTGTGGTTCAAGGCAGCCTATGATGATAGTTAAAACACAATTAAAACCAGGAGAAAAACCAGTCCCGAAATAGCTTCCTCCCTCTGCTCTTAAAAGATGCCTGTTTTTTTAAAAAGCCCCTTTTTTAACAGAGAAAAGCAACAACATTAATAATTTAAAAAAACACCCTACACTTAATCAAAGAAAACAGTGCCAAAAATAATTCAGCATCAGAGACTCTGCTACATGAGATGTTGTGCACCTGGCTGGTGATGCTAATGTTAGCTTTGTTTGTAATAAATGCAGGTTGGAGGCCCGTGAGGCTTAATGTTGATTTCGTTTAAAAGCCCATCAATATCTTCATCACACCTCTGGCCCATGGTGCATGCATGTGTGTGTGAGTGCAATGGGGAGAGGTGGTTCCCAGAGAGAACCCAGGTGTAAGGAGGGATATGGGATCAGGATTAGAACTCATCTCACTGCATAAGCAGTGGTGACTCCTGGTTTATAAAGATTTAAGAAGAAGAAGAAGAGATTGGATTTATACCCCGCCCTTCACGTGGAGTCTCAGAGCGGCTTACAAACTCCTTTCCCTTCCCCTCCCCACAACAGACACCCTGTGAGTTGAGTGGGGCTGAGAGAACTCTGACACAGACTGCTCTTTTTCAAGGACAGCTGTGCCAGAGCTTGTGACTGACCCAAGGTCACATCAGCAGGTGCAAGTGGAGGGGTGGGGAATAAAACCCGGTTCTCCCAGATTAGAGTCCGCGCACTTAACCACTACACCAAACTGGCGGTTTAAAGGGGTAGAGTTAGATAGAATTGTGAAGGAGTCATATATAGATTGCTGTTTGCAATGATGCTGAATGGAACTTTCAGGCTCAAAGGCAGTATATCTTTCAAAATGAACTGCTGCGCAGAACAGGGGAGTTCTTCAGCATGCCCTTCATGCTCAAGGACAATCTACCTCAATACCAGATGCTGGGGACAGACAACAGGGGAGTTGTTGCTGTCCTTGCCTTGGTTGTGGGCTTCCATTAGAGGCATCTGGTTGGCCCCAGCTTGGGTTGGGGAAACGATGCTGGGCTAGATGGCTCTTTGGCCTGATCCAGCAGTTCTCTTCCAGAATAGCTGGGGACCTTCTCTCCCCCGCCCCTTGCTGCACTTAATAAAATGACAGTTGTCATTCCAGACTTTGCAGAAATTAAAATGTGACTTCGCTCGTGCTGCAACCTTTCCTCCTTCATCCCTCGCACCCAAAAACTTGTGTTTGGGCAGTGAACTGTAATTATCTCCATATTTATAATTGGCTTATTTATTAGAATACTTGGGTGAAAGTTTAGTTGGGGGGGCAGTTGACAAGCACGGGATGATAAATTATGAAATTTTATGACTCTGGCATGTAACTATCATAGGGAAATAAAGAAACTGAAAATGTGAAAGGCAGAGTCTTTTCTCCCTGCTCCCCCCCCCCCCACTAGTGGCAACTTTTAATTTAAGTAATCAGGATGCTTCATGGATTATTTTATTTATTCGGAATGTTTCTGTGCTGCCTCTTCAGAGTCCTGCTCGAGGTGTCTCACAGCTAACAACACAGTATTAAAACACAAGGAGCATAAAAAGTATTAATAAAACAAAACCCTTTTCGTTCATTTAAAGTTTTGTTTGTTCCTCCGAGGAGCTCAGGGTCATGTGCATGGGAGGGGGTGGGGTTGATCTAGGCTTACAACAGCCCTGTGAGGTAGGTTGGAATGGTAGTTGATCAGTGGTCCAAGGCCATCCGGTGACAGTTGTAGCGTAGTAAGGATCTGAGCCCATCTCTTTGGTCCAAGTTCAACCCTTTATCCTCTTTGTTGTTTGGGTTCTGTATGGTTCTTTTGATGTGATTCATCTGCATAGGTGTGCCAGAATGGAACAAGCAAGCGAAGGTTGGTTTGGGTGACCTACTTAAAGGGCTGCACTTCTTCACTCTGGAGTAAATGGCTGACTTTAATTTAACTGGAAAGACACTGAACTGGAGGATAACGCTGCTCCCTTATTTCCACTTATTCCCTCCTGCTTATTGGAGGTTTATTCCCAGGACTTTCTGATTGGAGCGGAAGTGATCTGCTATCCAAGGGTTCAGCTACTGGAGGCTCAAGGGCCAGATCTGTCTTCTGTGGAGGATCATGTAGTTTCCTTAAATGTCAATGCAAAGGCAAGAGTGGTGCTTATAACCCCCCCCCCCTCTTGTTGCTGACTAGCAGATTATGCCATATGTTCTGCCTGCTGTTTGGAGAGTGATCCAGCCAAAATTTTGCCCAGGTTTCGATCTGCTGAGCTGGGCATTCTGTTTAGAATTATGCATGAGATTTGTTTGGGTTGTGCTTAAGCTGGCAAAGGTTGAAGCGGCTGCGTTCCTGCTTCAAAGAGGTGACATTGATATCCTGTTGCTTCCGAGTTTTGCAGAGCCTGTGCAGAAAGCACAAATCAAGTCACCTTACACTTTTCTCTTCCTTTAAAGGGAGTGGAGACTCCTTGCTTACCAGAGACATTCCTGGGCGGCTGTGTGCAAGGAAGCATGTGACTTTTCTCCTGGACCTGGGAGATGGTGGGGAAGGGCCTGCCTGCAGTGAGCCCTCCGCTGCCTCCTTGTCTGGAAGGACCGCCCGGTTCCCTTGTCACACAGGCC